ATGACAACAATGATTGAATTTAGAATCTGAAGGTTTTTCATCTATAAAATTCAAAGAAAAACAAAATTGGCATACTATATTCATAAGACTGCAAGTATGCTCAGCCTACTCTAAGTTGTCATGGGTTCAAATGCAACGATTTTAATCTTCCAACTCCTGACCCTATCACTCAATCTAATTTATATGACCCAATAATAGAAGCAGATGCAATAGTAATGTTAGCCAATCTAAATGTTTTACAGCGACATGCGTTTGATCAGGTTATCCAGGCTATTAACGATACCTAAATTACTACCAGCTATATATAGATAATGGGAAAAAGAAATACTTCCAATCTCCTTATTTAATGGAATTTACCTCCAAATTTTAGAAAATTCACTGAATTTTCTCCTTTATTTAATAAAAAAAATTTTCCTGGATTTTTTTATTCCCGTCATTCTTGACGGGTAATCAACTAGTTATATAATATTTATTCGAAAAGATTGCTAATAATGTAGAGGGGAAAAATAATAATAATATATTTTTAAAAAAAGAAGAAAAAAGGAATGCCATGTGTGTTTATATTATATTTATAATTATATTATCAAAATAGAACTATATTATTTTTTAACATGGTTAATATATTGTGTTAAAAAATATAAGACATTTATTTATAAATTAAATTTAAAAAAAAATTTATCATAAAATTTTGAACGAACGTGAACGCCTTCCATTTTTTAGAAATGTTTATATTTGTAACGATTTATTTTTTATTGTGTTAAGCGTTAATATAATTGTCCATTTAAATAATGACGATTTAAGGCGATAATGTTAATCTGATATATTAAATAAAACTTTGATATTATTATGTAAATTGAACATATTAAACGTTATTTTATATGGTACATATACCATTTTTCAGAAAAAGCAAAAACCATTAAATATTTTATTTTTGTATACAATCAATAATTACATTAAGTAGGTAAATCAATGTATTTTTATAATATTATTGTTTTATTATTTAAGAAAACAATTAATAAATACATTCAACAGGGGGGGGGAGGGGAATTATTGTTGTAGTTATATAAACTATTCATAAATACATTCAACAGGTGAGAATTGGGAAAAATAGGAAAGAGAATTAATGTATAATTATATTATTGTTATATTTTTATTTTTATATACAATCAATAATTACATTAAGTAAGGGAATCAATGTATTTTTATTTCATTATTTTACAAAAACAATTTACAAATACATTCAACAGGAGGAAATTGATAAGGAATTTAAATTTTGATAAAATAATTAATAACTTTGAAAAGGTAGGGAGTATATAATCATGTTCGATCAAAAAAAAACGAAAAATAATTATTATGTCATTGTATTCAGAATCAAATTTCCTATCTAAAAATGCTTAGATGTATATTTTTACGTTTCTGGTTCGAATAATATTTTTTTGTCGCGAAAATATTCAGAAAAATACTATTTTTAGATAGGAAATTTAGTTTTGAGTACAATGACATAATATCTGAAATTACGTTTAAGATGCTAGCCTTTTCCCTCAGAATGCTTTCGCGGCAAAAAATATTTTTCGAACCAAAACCGTAAAAAAATATCTAAGCATTTTTAGATAGGAAATTTACTGATTACAATATAAAAATATTCGAAATTCGCTTAAGATGTTAGCCTTTTCCCCCTGAATGTTTTTGTGTCAAAATAAAAAAAAAATGTCATTCACTAATCTTAAATCTTTTTATACATTTTCATTATAAATTAAAGCTTTGTTTATTATTTTATTCTACATTAATCTCATTTTCTAACTATTTAAATATTTGTTTAAATTGGGGTGCCTAAGATTGGAGTCAATTTGTCCTAGCCATTTTTTCTCTTCCAGACTGTTAAATTCATATGAGACTGGGGTTAGTCGAACCAATTTTTACAAAATTGGCTATAGCTCTTGTTGTTTTATAGATAATATAAAAAATAATATATGATTGGATACCTAAAACTATACTCTATAAAGGTGCCTTATAAAAAATCTTAAGATTATGATCATTTTTTTTAAATTTTATTTTTTGTAAAAGTGAAAATTTTGTTCAACAAGCCTCAATAGCGGGGTGAGGCAAACCACTTCAAGGGGCTTAAACCATTGGTTTTTTTAGGCCATAATAAATTGAAATGGATTTTTATTTATTAATAATGATATGTATAGAATAATTTTATTGTTTTATTGTTCAAAATATCATAATACTTATAAATTGAAGCTAATTATATATAAAAATTGAAACTTAATTTTGGCTAATTTAATAAACATTTTTGAACATAAAAAAATATGAATTTTAAGGAGAGATTAAGATTTCTTAGCATAAATCCTAAATACCAATCATAAACAGCCATGAAATTGCCTTTTCAAGATTTTGAAATATTTTTCATTATTAACTGCCATAATTGACGTGTATGGTTTAGCAAACCTCGCTAGCTCTAAATTGACAAATCATGATTGAATATATATCTAGATTTGATAAATACTCATAAAACTTACCCAAATTATAGAAGAATATTTAAACTTTGTAATAAATTTTAATTTACATATAATATAAATGATTATATATTTTAATATAAATTAAAATTCTGTCATGTATAAATGTTTTGAAAATGTAATCAAAAAATATTTTTTTTAAAAAAAATTTCTATATAAATAAACATGTAATTTTATATAAGTAATAATTGACGTAAAAAAAAAATAATTAACAACATCAAAAATATTAAAAAAACACAAGTTGATTGTTAAGAATAATTATGTGGCAAAGTTTAAAAAATAATGTGTTCAAGAGATAATTATCTTGTCGATATTATAACTAAGAAATTTTGTAAAGTTGCTTTTAGTAGATATCCTATAAATCCCACAAAAGTTTTGAAGGGGAGACTGGGGTTAGGCAAACCACTTAAACTCATTTTAAAATTAAATATACCAGAAGGTTAAAATTTTATCCCAATATATTTTTCATTAGTATACATCTATGGACAAAATATATTTTGAAATAATTAATTAATTTTAAATATGAATTATTAAAAAAAATATTCTTTTAGATATTTTTGAAGTTAAGTTTATTTACTATTTATTTTTTACGTCAATTATTAATTACATAAAAAAAATAAAAATTATGTTAAATTTTTTTTATATTAAATTTAACTTTCACTATAATTTTAAAAATGATATTAAAAATAAAATTTCCGTTTTTTTATTTTTGAAATTAAGTTTATTAATTATTATTTATCAGTGTTGTGATAATTTAATGAAACATGTTGTGTTGACGATTAAATTAAAAATAAAATCCATTTAGATAAAAATATTTTATTTAGAAAAATAATAAAAATAACACATTTACTTTTAAAAGCTTGAAAGAAAATGTTGAGAAAAACTTTATTATTTTTTAAAAAAATTTAACTAAAATTAAAACTTCTTATAATTATTTTTTAATTTTACGAAATTTTAATTTTAAATCATCTTTAAACAAATATATTTTTAGCCAGCTAAAAAATCTAAGCCGGCTTAAAAATTGGCTCAAGTTTTTTAGCCGAAAACTATCACTTTGGCTTTTCGGAGTTATTCTTAAAAAGATAGATTTCTCTAATTTGGAAGAAATTAATATAAATGAAAACGCTTTATTGTTAACTGATTTCGAGTTAGCCTATATTTAGCCATTGCCCAATTATGGCCATTGCATAACTATTTAATAAGTGTAAATTGATATAAATTTTGACTTCAGAATAGGTAGGACAAACAGTCGCTTGTTTATACCCCCCCCCCCTCCCCCCTAAAAAAACAACAAATAAATATAAATAAAAACGATTCAAAAGTATTCTAAATATCTCATTCAAGTTCAATCTTGCCGAATTTGGGAACTAATTTATCAAATATTTGTCTAATATACATTTCTAAAATTGGGTAAAAAATCTACATCTTTAAAAAATAGCAATGAAATTAAACAAATCAGACCAAAATGTTCGTATCTTATTCTGAACTAGGATGGTATAGCTAGAAATAATCGCTCGGCTAACCAACATAAAAACTATTTTAATCCATTAATTGGTATTTCTAAGCCCTGGGTGGTCCTGTTTAGAAAATATTTTATAAGCTGAGTTGCTTGCGGCTTTACTATCTAACCCCTGAAAATACTATTGCATCTTGCTATTTCTATACTATAATTTTTATTTGAATTATTTGGAATAACATTATTTATCTAACGATAACTAAACCATTAATACAACCAAATTGTCTCGCAGAATTTACGACCTAGCAAATTAACAACACTAAATCAATCAAATTTCTCATTATCATTTTCTTTGTTTCTTTTATATTTTTAATATATTTTTTAGCCTTTCATATAATGCTGCCTTTCAACTTATAGACCTACCCGGTTTTTCGTTTTTTGAAATTATAATATTTTTATTAAATTTTTCATAAGTTAAAATATACACAGAAAAACATGAATTAATTTTATTGAGAAAATATAAGTACACACTATAACAAAGTATATCAGAAAATAGAATATATAAATTTATATTGTTTAAGTCCACAATATTTAATTTTAAAAGATAACTATGTATGAAATTATTTAATAATAAAAGTTTTACTTTTAATTATTATCTATATTTAATCAAGCAACAAAAAATCAAATTATTTAAAAAGTTTAGAAAAAATTTAAAAAACTACTGTCATAAAAATAATATAAACTCAGCTGGAAAGTGTTATTTATCAAATATATGGTGATAAATTACAATTTTTATATATACAAAACAGTTTAAATCAGTTCAGGTAAATTAAATCTTCTTTTAGCGATTTTGTTTAAAGGTTCGGCGGTTATAGTTAAGGTTTAGAAAATTATAAAAATTTATTTCTGTATAACGGTTCAGTTCCTCTGATTCTTGAAATAAAATAAATGTACAAATTTATATTATAATAATTTTGTCTTTATATATTTCATGCTTCATCTTTTCAATAAATTTTTATGATTAGATATTTATTGTGGATGGAGTATCTTTCAAAATTAATCCTATTCCATCATTAAATGGCATTCAAGAATTTTTGAATCTATCAATGGATGAATTCAGATTTCACTATCACGTCCGGTATAAACTTTTACTTGAAATGCTAATACATGAAGACGTTATTTTTTAAATTAAAAATAAAATACTTGTGCAAGAAGTATAAAGTGTTTATGTTAAAAATTATATTTTTAAATGCTATATTGAAATATAATAGACCTGCAGGCTTGGATCAAGACCCTGTCTGGGTATATGCACTTAGCTGTATAAATTTAAAAAAATACTGTCAGGCCTAAAAAAATTATTTTTTCAATAATTCAGGCCGTGTATTTAGTACCTCTGCAGGTCTCTGAAATATTGTCTCCTAAAAAAGTGATATAAATTATTATAATAGTTATCAAAATAAAATATTTTATTATAATAACAGATTTAAACCTTCGAAGAAAATGTTTTGCCCAGTCGTTGATGGGATAGATAGATGTTTGGGCAAAAATAAAGGTGCACATTATCCAGAGATGGATCATCAATCTAAGCAATATTTGCAAATTTTTTACAAGTTTATGTTCTGATAAAAAAATCATTACCACTTGATAAATAAACAACGTCCATAATTTGAATCTTTTTTTATAAAAAAAATTCCGGTACTACATTTATTTTTTCAAAAAAATATTGAAGAATTTTTTTGCCTGCCCGGGATTCAACCCATATCACCCAGAAAGGGGCATCTTAACTACTCTACCATTAAGCCTTCTCAAAATCTCTTTAAAATTGTATATTTAAAATTATAATCAACTAAACTCTGTCTTTGTTCATCAAGTTTTTTTTTTCAATATCGCTATTTTCAGACTGTTATCTAATAAGTGGTTTTGACTAATTATTACTATAGCCAATAGCGTCACTATGGGGGGGGGTGACGGAGGCTCAACCCACTGAAGTATTTGAAGGGGCCTCAGAAAATTTTGATTTATTTATAAAAACACCTAAAAGAAAAAGGTCACTTTTAAAAATTGTTAGCTAAAAAAAGGGTCATTTTGAAATTTCATTTTGTTTTTCAAAATGTTAGCTAAAAAAATCTTTCAAAAATATTAACAAAAATAATTTTTTTGAGCCTCTTGAGATTATAAAGGCAAGTGACGTCGTTGACTAAAGGTATTAATTTTTAATACAATTCCTATAAAATGATTGATTATAATTGTGTTTTTAATATTTAGTCAAAGCAATGGTATGTTATACAAGTTGCTCAAAAGTAGTAATCTATCGATTCCAGTTTGGCTTGATGGTTAAGAACTTTGATAAAATAAATTTACAGATCAGTAATAATATCTATATCTTATTTGATCAAATTCGAATTTTTTAAATATTTCGTGTATCAAATTTTGTTTAAATATAACAAATTGAATTGTGACTTTTTATAACCTAGTAGTAACTTCATAATATATATTTAAAATTATGAAGAATATTTTTATAACAATTAATATGAATATTTATTCAACCTGAAGATATTGTACAATATTAAAAGCAAGAAGAATATTTTCTTTTTATATTGTAAGAACATTTAAAAAGTTTCTAATTTTTATATTAGCGATTAAAATGGTTATATTTTATGTATTTTCCGAATTTTTATAAATAGTCTAATCGTCTATTTTTAACCGACGACGTGATAATTATCATAAAAATAGATTTTTTGTAGAGTCTCTAAATCCAGCATCTACATTAGTGGGAGAAGGGCGGGGGTAGGAACAGTTTGCATCCAATTTTTTCTGGGGGGGGGGGGGGGTTGGTTGTAGGCGCCTTTAAGGAGGGTAGGATATATTTATTATGGGGTTATCTATAAATTTTTAGATAAAATAAGACAAAATATATTGCTGTAAAAATTAATATTTTATTATAGACCTATTAATACAATGATATTTCTGATCATCGACCAAATTTATATCTTGCAAACAATCATAGGCATTATTTTCCAAATGACATTCTCAGCAAACTCATATGAGGGGGTTTTCAATTGAATTCATGATCTAAAAAATAATTCTTTTATATTCCCAATATTTTGATAGTTGGTACTAGAGCTAAAATAATTTGATAGCTCACTGAAACTCGGGGAAATTTTTAATATTATTTCTTTCTATAAAAATAACAAATATGCGATCATATTGATATGGAATTTTTTGATGTAATAATAATTCAAAGTGTCATTACTCAAAAGTTTTAAGAATTTCATAATTTTTTCTTGTGAAGATTTTCATAATTCTTTAATTTTACTTAAAAATGGGAAAGGTGTGTGCTATATTAAATGCTATTATAGGACTATAATTTTTTTTGTGAAAATTTTCACAATACTTTAATTTTACATTAAAAATAGAGTATATTATTTAAAATTTTTAAAAAGGCATGTGCTAATTGGATGCCATTAAGTTAGGACTATTAAATCAAATACTAGATAATTAAGCAATTTATTGAATAAACATAATATATAAACTGATAATATAGATATATATAGACCCGTGCGCCGACGAAATATTGACGGCCTGCGCAATTTTTAAAAAATCTAATCGACGGCCGGCGGCGCGCCGATTTTTAGCCGCCGCTAGTAAATCGGCACATATATAAATTTTTATAATTTTTTAAAAAAACATATAAATATACACTATTCTACAGATATTACGGCATATTTTTTAATATTCATTTAATAGAAAACTTATTATATCCAAAATCGATTTCGTAATTTAATTATCATGTATAAAAATTATTTTATTAAAATTTTTGGGACATAATGATGATATCCTTGAATTTAACGTCAATCCAGTGATAGAGAAAACTCTTTCACTAGGTGTGCTAGTCGTCGGAATGCAAAGAATTTTTTTGGCGAGCCTGTAAAGATTGGGAAGTTCACTCTTCTTTTCTCTCCAAAAATTTAGAACGTCCATGTCTTGTGAATGTCGTTTTCCAAGAAAACTGGCATTCTTGTTGTAAGTCACCTAACTTGGAATCATAATTTATATTTGTTGAATGTTTAATTGCCAATTTTGTCAAATAACTTGAATTTAATAATTCATCTTCATCCTCATTAGCTATATTTATTACCTGATTATCATCATTCTCTATAAGTTTAAGATGTTTTATTATAAATTCTGAAGCTGAGCAATTTTGCTCTATTAAATACTTTGACACAATTGTCATTTTTTAAAATCTTGGATCTAAAAGAGAAGCCAATACCTAGATAATTTTAAATAAAAAATAAAAGGATATACTTATATAACATTACTTGATGATTACAAACCGGAAATCGTAACGCAAGTTTTTTTTAGCATATTTTCCTTAATTGAAATAATTTCAGAACTATCACTATCATTTACTATTAAATGTGTTTCAATTTCACTTCTAAAAAGTAACGCCAAGTTTAAAGTAGGCTCTTTAAGTACTGAAAGAAATTCGACATTTTTTTTAAACTTTGAAAGAAATGCTAATAGTTCTTTTACCAGATCAGATTCATAATTTGAGAAAGTGCTTCCCAATTCTTTTCAAAACATTATTAATTAAATTCTTATTTAATCCAGATATGCTTTCTAGCATAATTAATATACTATGCCAACGGGTTGGGATATTTAATTTTAAGGTTTTTATATGCGTGGAAATATTGTTATTATTATCATTGGAATTGCCAATTTGAAACCGGGTATCCGCTTATAGATCAATGCTGTCAAGATCTAACATGTCTGATGTTAAATCTATTGTACTTAGGCATTTTCTTTGATATTCCTCGAATTCAACCTCTGCAGTTTTGTATCTTAGAGCAGTAATAATTTCTCTAATTCTTTTGCAAAAAATTTTCAGACTATGGATTTTTTATTATCCAGAGTTAGGATACTGAAATTATTTAAATTATTAAAGTAGATGCATCCATTTTAAAAATATGTAAAATTATGGTAACTTTTGGAATTTTATAGATTTTTGATTGATTGAATTCTATAATGACGTCAATATAATTAAGATTTTAAAATAGTAGAAAATAAAAATTCATCAAAATCCTGATTGACATTAAAAAATTACAAGAGTGATGTTGACCAATTATTTGAATAAAAAAGGTAGAAAAAAATTTCTGCGCCGGCCGTGCGCCGCCGATATGAAAATCGGCGGGGCGCTGGCGTAATTTTCTTAATGGCGGCGTTTTCGGCGTAACCAAAAAAGGTCGGCGGCTGGCCAACGGCCGGCCGGCGCACAGGTCTAGATATATATAATTTTAAGGAAAAACATAGATAGTTCTATATAAATTTATATCATCTAAAAATTAATTTATTTAAATTTGACATATTTTTAGTATTACGAAAATAAGAATATTCACATATATAAATGAGAAGAAGATTTCTTTTCCAGTTCTGGGGATTCTCTTCTTAAGATCCTTCCATAAACGTTCAATACGTTGAGTTTGGGTAGACCTGTGCACATATGTCTTAAACGACGGCGTCGGTATTTTTTAATTTATTCATCTGCGTTTGGCGGTGACGCCACCTACTAAAGAGTCGGCGGAACGTGATATTTATTTAAAAAAATTTTTTTAATGAATTTAATTTATAAATCAATGTATTAAACTTTTTTATAATTTATTTGGGGGCTCTTTTCTAACACATTGTTAATATAGTATAATTCATTTCTTAAATTATTTCCTGTCTCACTTCAATTTAAATTTATGTATCTTCTCATTCTCAGAAGTCAACTAAGGAATTGCATTTTTACTAAGATCAGCACATATTCAACACATATTAGTAATATTCTATTGATTTTTATCATAACAAATTAAAATACAAATTTGGAATGCAAGCAAAAGATAAAGTATGAACTATAATAAATCAGAATTCAGATTTAGCAAAATTATAATTATGAATAAATAGTATTTTATCAAGATTCGTGGGACATAAAGAAGTCCATTTTGCATTGAGTATTAATCCAGCAATGGAAAAAATACTTTCGCTGGGTGTACTCGTTGCAGATATATAAAGAACCTTCCTAGATAAATTTGACTAGGAAGTTACAGTCATTTTAAAAGGTTAATGCATCCTCTTCTGGGATATTATGTTGGCTGAGAAAAATATGACATTCTTGTTCTAGATAAGGGAATATTTACGAGCTATTTTAGCTATATAAGAACTGGATGTTTATCCATTATCTTCAACTTGAATTTCACTCTGTGTTTTTCTATCAAGCTCTAAAAGTTTTAAATGTTTAATTAAAAATTGCAATGATATCGTAGAATTCGAATTTAAAGTAACAATTTTAAGATTTTGAAATCTGACCTTTTGAAATAAAGTTTAATAAATTTAGTTTAACAAACCAGTTAAAAATTTAATATTAACGTAAGAATCTTTTTTATCTTTTATAGTGTTGCTACATCTTGGTGTTGGCTTTAAAAACATTTTTAAACTTTGAACGGATTTATTATAATAATTTTTTCTGATATTTTATTAACATTAACTAAGTCCGAGAAAGGTTACTTGTACTTATATTTTTACTAAAACATTTCATTTCATAACTAAAATATAAATTATATATATTTATAAGTCTAAAATTAAAATAAATTACTGTGAAAATGGATTATAAATTATAAAATATATTACTAACACATTCTTTAAAATATACAATAAATATATGTATAATAATTAACTTTATTTCCCATGAATTAATCTTACAATCATAATCATATCATAAAACATTCCATCAGCTGGAAGACAAAGCTTCCAAAAAAACCGTTATCTTGTTACAATCCTAATAATCCACTAAAAACTTCAAAATATCACTTTTGATTGGCATTTCATATATAACATTGTATCTAAATATATAACAAAAATACAAAACTACAACAGTTTTTCAGAATCTTTCTCATCTTTTTTCCCCAATTTTATGCAAGGTTCACAATAATTATAATCAGGCATTATTGTGCTTTTCTTATTTTCATTCTTCAAAATAAGATTTCTAAAGTACCTCCAGACATAACTTGTTTTATGATTAGTAGAGAGTCGTTATTTCATAATTGTATATAGGGTGATTTAAAACATGCAAGTCCATAAAAATATATGTATTATTTGGAAATGAAATATGATGTAGAATGAATGTAAATGATATACACTATTCTATTATATATAGCTATAGAATACAATTCATATTTTAATTTTATTAATGTTAATATTCAAATTTAAATAATAATTTAATATATAAATATAATTTAACAGCATTCTAAAATTTACACACGCCACGCCGCCATAAAAAATTGGCGGCGAGCCTGCTTGCCATTTCCGGCGTAAATAAAAAACCGGCTGCGCATAGATCTAAGTATGGGTCGATATATCATTTGGGTTTAATAAGTTTCTGCTGTAATTGACCGAGTAATGATCATATCCATTTTGATTAAGAAAAAATATTAAATTTTAAGATTTGTGCTATCGCATATTTATTATTTTTAATTAAAGAAAAATATTAAAAATTTTTCCGAGTTTCAATGAGCTACAAATTAAGTTACTTCAAGAAAGAAGAATGAACGTCCTTGGAGAAAAAGTATAAATATTATTTTATCTCATTTTATTTCTCTTTTTCATAAGGCATATATAACGGGAGGGCCTCCTTTGATCGTATTATTTTGATGGTCCATTTTAGGTCAAAATGGACGGTTTTTTCATTCATATGAATTTATATGCACGTAATTTTTCTAATTCTTTATATCAGATTAATGTAGTAATGTATACCTATTAATAAACATATATCAATTATTTATTAGATAATGAAGAAAGAAGAGCTACTGATTTTGAACTCCTTTAAATAATGGAAATATTTTTCTAATTCTTTATATCAGATTAGTGTAATAATGTATACCTATTAATAAACATATATCAATTATTTATTAGATAATGAAGAAAGAAGAGCTACTGATTTTGAACTCCTTTAAATAATGGAAATAGAAGCAACTGATGATTAAAATTTATTATTTATTAGATAATGAAGAAAGAAGAGCTACTGATTTTGAACTCCTTTAAATAATGGAAATGGAAGCAACTGATAAATATAATTAAAATTTATTATTTATTAGATAATGAAGAAAGAAGAGCTACTGATTTTGAACTCCTTTAAATAATGGAAATATTTTTCTAATTCTTTATATCAGATTAGTGTAATAATGTATACCTATTAATAAACATATATCAATTATTTATTAGATAATGAAGAAAGAAGAGCTACTGATTTTGAACTCCTTTAAATAATGGAAATAGAAGCAACTGATGATTAAAATTTATTATTTATTAGATAATGAAGAAAGAAGAGCTACTGATTTTGAACTCCTTTAAATAATGGAAATAGAAGCAACTGATAAATATGATTACAATTTATTATTCATTAGATAATTATAACTTATAAATAAAATTAATTGATAATTTGGTCAGAATATTATATTTTATTATACATCTATATTATAATTATACATAAGTTTTATATAACAAGATGCTTTATCAGCAAATAAATATTTATTTATAATTTTTAAATTATATTGAGTAATTAGATTTTGAATATTCTTTTCTTTTGTTATATATTTATTATTAGTTTTTTTGTTGTCATCCCCAGGTCAAGTTGGACCTTTTTTAATTTATTATTTATGTGGTCTTTTTGAATTAAATTTATAAATGTATAAATGTTTGGATGCGAAGATCTTGTTGATTTATTTAATGCTGAGTGCCAGCCCTCTAGATGATTATTGGTCCTAGGTCCAGATGTACTATATCTGGACCACATCTCTCTAGGAAACATTGAATTATTTCCTATAAAATCATAAATTATTATTAATTTATTTTATATATTTAGTATACCAAGCCAGGTTTTATCCATGTATAAAAAAAAATTATCCATTGGTAGATTATTGGTTGTTGCTAATATTTGGCAACTGAGTGCCACATCATTCACGGAATTCTCTCAAAGAAGCTATGGCATTAAATCCACTGGAATCTAAGAAAAATATATACAACAAGGTCCTTGGTGATAGATTACAAAAAGTACCTAATATCAATAGATATCCTGATGCACTTCCAACTTATCAAACAGTCCAAAAATCAATGGATAGAATGGTTAAACAAGCTAGGCCTAACCTACCTAAAACCTCCATGGATCTTATATTACCTATTGAGTTCACATTATGTGAAGGGCAACCATTCCTTTTAGGGAACCATAATAATGAAATCTTAATTTTTTCAACATATGAATTTATCAAGATCCTGACAGAATCAGATACAGTGTACATGGATGGCACATTTTTTATAGCACCAAATATTTACCAGCAACTTTATTCAGTTCATGTTTATTATAAGGAATATATGTTGGTTGTCATATATGGCCTTTTGTCAAACAAAAGAAAATCAACATATATTAAACTTTTTATCATGATCAAAGAGATATGTGAGAAGTATAATTGTATTTGGGCACCTAAATTTGTTCAGTTAGATTTTGAGCAAGCTGCTATAGAAGCTTTGCACAAAGTGTTTTTAAAGATCCAAATCAAAGGTAAAATAATAATATTATTTTATGTTATATTTAAATATATATTTAGGTTGCTTTTTCCATTATACCCAGTGTATATGGAGAAAAATTAATACATTACTCTTGAAATCCCTCTATAATGAGGATCCTATGATGAGAACGATTATAAAAAGAATGTGTGTATTACCACTTCTAAATCCGCAAGATATAAATGATGTGGCACTCAGTTGCCAAATATTAGCAACAACCAATAATCTACCAATAGATAATTTTTTTTTATACATGGATAAAACCTGGCTTGGTATACTAAATATATAAAATAAATTAATAATAATTTATTATTTTATAGGAAATAATTCAATGTTTCCTAGAGAGATGTGGTCCAGATATGGTACATCTGGACCTAGGACCAATAATCATCTAGAGGGCTGGCACTCAGCATTAAATAAATCAACAAGATCTTCGCATCCAAACATTTATACATTTATAAATTTAATTCAAAAAGACCACATATATAATAAATTAAAAAAGGTCCAACTTGACCTGGGGATGACAACAAAAAAACTAATAATAAATATATAACAAAAGAAAAGAATATTCAAAATCTAATTACTCAATATAATTTAAAAATTATAAATAAATATTTATTTGCTGATAAAGCATCTTGTTATATAAAACTTATGTATAATTATAATATAGATGTATAATAAAATATAATATTCTGACCAAATTATCAATTAATTTTATTTATAAGTTATAATTATCTAATGAATAATAAATTGTAATCATATTTATCAGTTGCTTCTATTTCCATTATTTAAAGGAGTTCAAAATCAGTAGCTCTTCTTTCTTCATTATCTAATAAATAATAAATTTTAATCATCAGTTGCTTCTATTTCCATTATTTAAAGGAGTTCAAAATCAGTAGCTCTTCTTTCTTCATTATCTAATAAATAATTGATATATGTTTATTAATAGGTATACATTATTACACTAATCTGATATAAAGAATTAGAAAAATATTTCCATTATTTAAAGGAGTTCAAAATCAGTAGCTCTTCTTTCTTCATTATCTAATAAATAATAAATTTTAATTATATTTATCAGTTGCTTCTATTTCCATTATTTAAAGGAGTTCAAAATCAGTAGCTCTTCTTTCTTCATTATCTAATAAATAATAAGTTTTAATCATATTTATCAGTTGCTTCTATTTCCATTATTTAAAGGAGTTCAAAATCAGTAGCTCTTCTTTCTTCATTATCTAATAAATAATTGATATATGTTTATTAATAGGTATACATTATTACACTAATCTGATATAAAGAATTAGAAAAATATTTCTATTATTTAAAGGAGTTCAAAATCAGTAGCTCTTCTTTCTTCATTATCTAATAAATAATTGATATATGTTTATTAATAGGTATACATTACTACATTAATCTGATATAAAGAATTAGAAAAATTATGTGCATATAAATTCATATGAATGAAAAAATCGTCCATTTTGACCTAAAATGTACCAAATGGACCATTTTACGATCAAAATAATACGATCAAAGGAGGCCCTCCCAAAATAGAACGCCTTTATTTAACAGCAATAAATGGTGTCATATAAAGTTATTTTTTTATTCAACACGCTTGTTTTTTTTTCTTTAACAAACAAATATTAAAAAAAAGTTGTTTATTATTTTTTTAATAAATTTTTTATACGTATTAATAAATTTTTTTACGTATTTTTTTTTTTTAAAATAGATGCTTATTTAATATTTAATAGAAATTAAGATATAATTTAGAACTAAACGATTTTTCTACTTTAAAACAGTTTGTGAGTAATTATGAGAAGAATACCTTTTCAAATTATTATATTAAAAACCTTTATATTCCAATTGTTAAAATTTTTTATAGATGTTGAGGAATTTAACAATATTTTCAAACAATAGGGTCAATTAATGGGATTAATTGAATGTCTTATTTAATCATGAATTAGGTTTTTATTATAATCTTTTGATGCTATTAAAAATATAATATTTCATTATATAAATTAACCTTCATGCAATTTTGTCATATAATATTAATAAAGTATAACAACATATATATCCTGGTACACCAGAATTGTTATGCTTATATTTATATAGATGAATGGCCTATGCTTAATGTTCTAAGATTTATAAATTTTATTTTAATCATGTAAGGTGAATGTAATATCAAAATTTACTAAATAATATTTATACAGTTTGATATTTTATATATAAAAGTAAAATATTTTTGTTAGCTTATTAAGACATGATGACAGATTTCTTAATCAATCTGTTTTATACTTTGTTTAAATCATTCAAACCTAAAAATTTACTTTATTTTAATATTTATTATATTGTGTAATTCTTATAATATTTTGCAAAAAACTATTCTATGAATCCTCCTATGAATATATCTTAAACAATATAATTTAACAAAGAACTATTTTTATTGTTTTTTTTGTCGAAAATATTGAATGTTTGTTATTTATAACACAAGAATCATATTTTTAATTCTATATTTTAGAAATATATTGAAAATATATATATAGAAATAAAATTTGTAAGAATACAATAATATATTATAATTCTATATATATATAATTAAAATTATGTATTATAAAATACAATAATATAATATAATTGTAAATATATATACAGAAATAAAATTTGATATATTAGAATACAATATAAATTATAAATTGCTTTTTATTAGGTTTTTGAAATCTTGATTGTATTGTTTTCTGGAAGCTCCATTAGATTGTATTTGGTTCCTATAATATTTTTAAATTTAATATAAACTTTCTAAATATATAATTATTTGTTTTATTTATGGTTTCCTAAAAAAAATTTGAGATTTTGAAGAGAATATCCAGTGTAGTCTAAAGTTTTGATTGCTATAATTTTTGTTATATAAAATAAATGTATTTTAATAAACAATAAACATTTAATTTTTAGTGATACCAAATAGTTGAGTGTTTTCTGTATTGGAATGTGGTAGGTCGTTTCAGTCATATTTTGATTAGCTTGGGAAAAATCTTTTTTTAAAATACATGTATATTATAATATCATTTTCAAAAATTGTTAACTGTGAAATATTTTATAATTTTTAAATAATACTCTTTTTTTGCATTTTTTTAGGCCTTTTATGTATTAATCCTCGTTTGTATTTTATGGGCATTTTAATATTTTTCATTATATTCTTATCCCATTCTTGTAAAACTAATAAATTTTTATCTAAAATTAATCTTTTTTGAGAAGATTAATGAGCTGATGATTATTCTTCTCATAATTACTCACAAACTGTTTTAAAGTAGAAAAATCTTTTAGTTCTAAATTATATCTTAATTCCTATTAAATAAAAATATATTAAATAAGCATCAATTTTAAAATTACCATTTTTTCCATTAGATAAAAAAAAATACGTAAAAAAATTTATTAAAAAAAATACGTAAAAAAAAATTTATTAAAAAAAATAATAAACAACTTTTTTTTAATATTTGTTTGTTAAAGAAAAAAAAACAAACGTGTTGAATAAAAAAATAATATAACTTTATATGACACCATTTATTGCTGTTAAATAAAGGCGTTCCCCAAAATATATAATTTGAATAAGTTAAATGAATGCGCGTTACATAATAAACATATACTATTTAATAACCAAAATATATAATATTAATTTCTATAATATAACATTCGCCCTCTTCTAAAAAGCCTTCCCATAATTTCATCTTAGAAGTCATAGAGAGTTTGTTGTCCAAGTGGTTTATCGTTTTGGTCATCAAGTTGTTTCATAAGTCATTGTAATCGTTGGTTTGTTTAAATCGTAAGCTTGATATCCTTATCATAAGTTGTCTCCATAAATCATGATTTTGTTATATAGCTTGCTTGGTAGTACTCAGTTGTTATTATTATCATTTTTCAAAATTGTTATTATCAGTAAGTTGCGAATAATGAGAAATAATAGTTCATTAAGTTGGATACAAGAATAAATGAAGAATGATAAATCAATAAGATTGTTATATAATATTTTTAGCGTTTTAATTTTTCATGTTTTCGTGTTCAATTTATTTTTTGCGTTTTAGTTATTTTTTTGCGTTTTAGTATTTAAATTTATTTTTATTTATAAATTAATATTTTCAATCCTGAGGTTAAAATATGCAAATAAAATATTATTCACATTTCCCTCTCTTTAAAAAATTTTTTTTAATTTCACATCCTAGTTTTAATTCAATAAGTGTTTTTTTAAAATAATAATTCTTTATAAGATAATTTTTAAAAATTGATCTCCATCACATCATTTAAATATTTTTCTAAAATGATGATGTTTAGTTTTTACATAACTTCTTTTATTTGTCTTCAAGGCTTTAAATTTCAAAAACTTTTTATCACATTTATTACTTTGAGTTATTTTATAATTTTCTAATATGCATTATTATATTTTTTTATTTAATCATATGATTTTTATCTATTAAATCTTTTAATTCATATGTTTCAATTCAATTACATTTTGATAAATCATATTTCTTATTTAGGATTTTTAATGGTTTAACTTTGTAATATTTTTAATTATATCTAAGAATTCATCTTTAGGTAATTCAGTTAATTTAAACAATTGGTCATAATTCAAGAAATCAAAAATATCAATAGGCATTTCACTATGAAATTCATTAAGCAAGGCTTTTTATTATCTTTGGTCATAATTCAAGAAATCAAAAATATCAATAGGCATTTCACTAAGAAATTCAAAATATCAAAAGGCATTTGACTAAGAAATTCAACTGTTAATTCATTATTAAGTAAATATTTTTTAAGGCTTTTTATGTATTCAAATATGTCCATTATGATTGATTTACATTTAAGTTATTTTAATAAGTAAATTTACAACATCCCTTTATCTCGGCATAAAATTTTGATTTATAATAACTTTTCTTACGTGGATTTAGAATTATTAGTAAATCATCATTGGTCTTACTATATAGAATTCATAACCTAACGTCCAACTTCCATATGTTCTTTCTAGGTAGTCACATTAGATTAGGTGTTGGTCATCATATTGCAGTCCACCACCCAGAGCCAGGACACCATGAAGAGGCTTTTGACGTGAAAGAATGTGCTAGGGAATTTTCTTGGTTCTTGGTCATCTCATTAGGTTAGGTAGTCATCTCATTCAAGTCCACCACCCAGAGTCGGGTACCATGAAGAAAGAAGAAGGACGTCCTTGGAGAAGAAGTAAAAATATTATTTTATCTCATTTTATTTCTCTTTTTCATAAGGCATATATAACATTTTTACAAATTAAAATTAGAATATAATATTAAAAAGGTTAAGTTATAAAAATAAAAGTATCACTAAAACGTGATACGTGATAAAAGCGTTTTCGCCCTCTGGTTGTGGATACAACAGAGCTACGCTAGGTTTTCCTCAAAAATCCATCAAACTGGATGGTTAATTAAAGGAAGAAAAAATGAGGAGCCCTTCGCACGTTTGTGGGCAAGCCGCACGTACTTGTACGCACAACAGTCCGAGAACTGTTGCTTAAACGTCTATAGGCTAATAGACAACAAAATAAAAGCCTATACCCAAGAACTGCAAAAATAATTTAATTACTTTAAGGGTGGGTGGTGGCTAAGTTTAAGTTTAACATCTTTTGATAATTACTATCAATAATTGAGAATGTGTTCATATCAATTGAAATGAGAGAAATGTAGAGTAGGTTATGAAAAGAAGAAGTAAGATTGCGAAGAAAAAGAAAAGTAGACAAGGAGAAAAGGAGATAAAAAGATATAGTAAAATAAGTTTTTAGGAGAAGTTTATGGGAGATTTAAATAATTTGATTTGATTTTAAGCAGTTTCTTTATTGATCTCTTATTCTTATTTAGCCTTAGAAACTGTTTAGTGTTTAGGTTCATATCCATGATGTCTTTAATTGCCCTATAGTACCATAATCTTTCAAACTTTCCATAGGATTTGCCGTTTAAGGAGTATAGCCAATTTATGGCATCAAGGACTAGGCTATTATTGGTATGATTCCTCAGAATATGCCCGAAGAAGGTTATACGCTTTTTCTTTAGAGTTTACCGGAGTATGTTTAGACCTTCTCCAAAGGTTGTCGTTCGAAATGATGTTAGGGTAAAAGACGCCATTGATTATTCTTAAGCATTTATTAACAAACGTTTGCAATCTCTTTGTCTCTGTCTTAGTTATCTCCCATGTATCACCCCCGTAAAGGAGGATTGGAATGATAGAAGAGTTGAAAATTTCTTAGCCTAGTGAACACCGATATTTACCTAGTTCTCCATAGCTTAAAATATTTGTAGAAAGCAGCTCTAATACGGAATCTCAGTTCATCTTTACAACTGCCTTTATTGTCGATGTTCACTCCAAGATATTTATAGGAAGACACTACTTTGACAACTTTTCCTCCAACTAACCAATCTCCCAGAGGGGGAGCATAAGACGATGGCATGATTACAGTCTTATCAAAGTTAATATCTAATCCAACCTTAAGACTAAAAGTGTTTAGTATCAAGACCAAATTGTTAGCCTCCTCCAAGTTTTTTGCAATCAAGACCAAGTCATCAGCATAACTAATCGCCCTGTTTTCCAAAAACCACGGCTGATTGGATCCAAGTTCTAGAAGATTGGCTGCCCCTAATGTATCAATAATTACTCTATTCATTACTATATTGAACAGTAGTGGAGAGGCGACACAGCCTTGCTTAACTCCTTTTTTTTTCCTGAAAGGAAGTGAAACTTTATTTAAGATTTAAAATGAAGCCATGAGATTACTATAGCATCCCTAAAATCTTGATAATATTGGCTTCTATACCGCATCTCGCTAGGATAGCTTACAAGGTATCATGAATGATACTGTCAAAAGCGCGTTTGAAATCAATGAATATAAAATAAAAAGGTAATTTATATTTTTCACACTTTTGTACAATTATCTTCAGCGCCAAGATTGGTTCGTTTATATTTCTGTTTGGGCGATATGCACAAATGTATTTCGATAATAGGTTAGGGGAGGATGCTAGGATTCGGTTTTTAAAAAGGATCATAAAGACTTTTGATACTATGGAGGTAAGGGCAATCGCTCTATAATCTTTGAATTTAGTAGGGTTAGGAATTTTAGGGAAATTGTAAAAGATAGTTAAGTTCCAATCTCCAGGCATTTTCTCTGTATGCCAAATCTTATTAAACAACCCCAGCAAAAGCTGGGAGACCTCTGACGGGGCAGCTTTTAGGTGTCCTCCCAATATGTTGTCGTGACCTGGGGATTTATTTTTCCTAAGCCTATTAATGGCTTTAGTTATTTCTGCCACAATAAATTTTGCGTCAAGTGGTTCTATGTTGTGACTAGAGGACGGGAATAAGGATGGCCTCCTGGAATCAAAGATTTTCATATAACGATCCAACCAAAGGGCGATCTGTTCATCTGGGTCTATTGTCTAGTTTGATAGACGAGAGAGGTTTAAACACTTTAGCGCTACAGAACTGTTTAAGCTTTTTATAAACATCAAAGGTCCTGTTGTCCTTTATGTCTTTATCGATCTCAAATGCTGTTTTTGCAATGTAGATCCTTCTATCTTTCCTAATAAGCCTATGAATCGTAGTCCAAAGGTTACCATCCCATCTTTCACTTGACTTTAGTTCCGCTATCATCAGAATGGTGTCTTCGGATAGCATGTCTCTGGAAGGACCTGTTAATGCTTAGGAGATCGTTGCAAGCTCCAAATAAAATATTTTTAAAGGACAACCAACATTCTTCCGTGGATTCTGATTCCGATGAACCATGATTTAACGCCATCATAGCTCTTAAGTTTTGGATTAAAAGGAGCTTAACTTCTGAACACTGTAGATTCCTTGCCCTTATTATCCAGGGGGGAGGACTAGGTTGATTTGAGATGGCTAGTCGTCTAGAGTTGCCCCATAAATTTCTTATGGTGATACATCCTCTGACTAGCTTATGATCAGAAATATTAATGTTTAGCAAGGCCCTAATATCAGTAAACCAGCCATGAATGTTGGAAATAAAGAAATCGATTTGAGAGGTGATATTATTTCTCTTATAGGTTAATGTGTTTCTTTCACTATGGAGGAAAAAGGTATTTTCAATTTTAAGGTTTAGGCTCTTACACGGATCCAAAAACTTCCTGCTATCCTCACCATTTGGCTGTGGGATGGCGGCATTACCAATTACTCAATTAGTTATAAAGGACTCCTCATTCCCAATTTTGATATTTAAATCGCCCAAAATTATCAGATTGCGGCTCCTAGGGAGTGAGCATACAATGTTTTCAAGATCGTCTAGAAAGAAGAGTCTATAACTCCTGTGAGGAGGGGCATAGACATTGATTAGGATCGTTCGTTTAAACCAGGTGTTTAGATACAGCAAACCACATCTTTCGGAAATGGGTACAAATTTATCTACAAATTTGTGTACTCTCTTACTAATCAAAAAGGCGATCCCTGACCAGCTATTTAAAGTAGTGCCCGAAAAACTATATGTCTACTTACTTTTTATAAATAAATTTCTTATACTTGTTTGGAATAAATTATTACCAAGCTTTTATATTAATGTATATACAAGTAATTTATTATATTTTATATAAACTAATAAAAATGTATTTTATATTTGTTCCAGGCTTATTTTTTTTATTATAAATAATCTCCTCTCTTGTAAAAATTTTATGACTATATATAGACCAAGGTAATCCGGCCGAAGGCCCGCCCAAAATAGAGTCTGGGGGCAAAACCCCCAATACTTTTTTAATCCCCCCCCTTAGGAAAATCCTGGCTACGCCTATGCGATGAGCTTACCTTGCTACAAGTCGAGGGAGACAAATATTAAACACGTATAACTCTGCTTTTGACTCAAAAATAACATATAAAATATGAAATTCTTCATCAACTTTAGCCCTAATTTCCTTGAGTTCTAATAAAATGCTCTCCACTATTCTCATCTTCTTAAACAAGTCAATGTTATGTTTTTAAAAAGTAATATAGAAAATAGTTGTATAAATAATACATTCTAATGAGAAAAAAAATTTGGAATAAGCATTGAATCCAATAATTTTTTTGCTTTATTTCTTTTAGGCCATTATGATATTTTAATAATAGCAAATAATTATCTCTTCTAACTCCATAAAAGCTGTTACTGCTTGATGGCGGAGACTCTTTCTCGTTGGACAAGGTTGCAATTTCTTTCTCCCTGTCGGACAAGAAGTTTCAGAAATAATTATCATTTGACTAGAAATTTGAAAATGGTAGTTAAATATTACGCCACTAAAAATTTGAAATTAATAAATATTACGCCGGAAAACTTGAAATCGAAATTAATTGATAAAATAAATTATGAATGTGTTAATAAATGTAATTAAATATATATTTAATATGAGATAGGAATAAATATTAACAAATATAAATTAATATATTCATTAATATTATTGAAAAATATATCCGGCATCTAAATCTTTTGACTGGGGGGAGGGGGGGGAGATTTGTCCCTTTGCCCCCTTCCCGAAGCGTACGCGCCTGATTTAGGCCCCTACTAATTCAACAACCAGTTTTTCTAATCAATAAATATAAGTTATACACGAAAAAACAAGTTATGAAATAAAAATTACGGCAGACCTTAGATTGAGTCTATCGAATTAAAGGTTTTCCCCGCAAAATATTTTTGAATCTTTTAATTCTACTCTCTATAGACATCGCTTGCTGTTTTCAGTTTATTTAATAGATAATTAACAATATTAATTATATACTTAAATTTATAAATATCTAAGTTTTTTTATTAAATTAAACACAAAAAATTAATTTCCGGAAGGGGGAAGGGCTTGTCGACGCCACTGGGTTAATATTTTGGTAGTAAAAAAATAAAAAGTATGAGCTGATGCCATGAATAACGGTGCGTCTGAAATTTTCTCGGCAAGATTTTATAAGACTAAAAATTGTAATCGAAATTTCTATTGTTTTATCTCATCAATCAATGTCACTTTATACCATTTAATTATTAGCTGTCTAAAAAATATTTTTATTTTATTTGATAATGGAAATAGATTTTAGCTTCTACGATCCAGATGAATATATAATTACACAATCAGGAAATAAAGTTAGTAGAAAATCGATTTTATGTGGGAGCAAGCATATAGTTTTATTAGGGAAGGTCATTATTCAAAATGAATCTGTAATAAGAGGTGATTTAGCAGCTGTAAGAATTGGGGAATATAGTATTATATCTCAAAATGTAGTGCTAAGGCCACCTTTCAAAAAGTATCCAAAAGGCGTAGCGTTCTTTCCTTTATACATAGGAAATAATGTATTTATTGGTGAAAATTCAGTTATCAATGCTATTCAAATTGGATCATACGTACATATTGGTAAAAATTGTATAATTGGTATGTAATTACATTTTTATATTTTGAGATTATTTTAATAGGTAGGCGTGCACTATTAAAAGATTGTTGTTTTATTGCAGATGATACAGTAATTCCTCCTGAGACTGTTGTTTCATCATTTAAAAAATTTGGTGGATCACCTGCTCAAATAGATGATGAAGATCTTCCAGAATGTACACAACATATAATGACTGAGAAAACATTATTATTTTATCATAATTTTATCCCAAATACAAAACAATCTCTAAATAATTGAATGATCAAGTTTCATGCTTAATTGATTAACAAATTTTCACATTACAATTACATGTGATAGAATAATTATTGTATCAAATACCTACAAAGTATTTATTATTATAAGTACATTATTTTAGAACATTTTTATATTTATTATTTAAAAAATTTGACAAAAATAAAAAAAAATAATATGTGTACAATTAAAAATAAATATGTAAATAGAAAATTTATTTAAAAAAAAGATAATTATAGGGAAAGGTGTGAGTGTAACAGCCAAACCTCCCTACAATTGGCAGAGTTTATAAGGAGTTGCTCATTAGACTGTTACCTATTTTTGGATTGCATAAAGCAGAGCTAGAACTTTAGGAGCCATATGACCTAAGGTGCTAGCTTTATATGGGATAATTAAATATTTTGGGCAAAAAAAATCGTCAAGTGTTCATTTGAAGATTTTTGTCCTAAATTTGAGCTCATTTCTATGACTTGAGGGCAAAAGTATCCACTTGAACCAAAATCCTTGAAGAAATTGAGATTTATTTTAAAAAAAGATCAGAAATTTTTTTATAAAAATTTATGGTTTCATCATAAAAGACTATGCTTAAAAATAACAAACTATTTACTTGTAAAAGATTTTTTTACCATAAAATTTGGAAATTTATGTAAAAATTCTGTTTGTGCATTCTCAAAAAAAGCCAGAATCTAAATCTTTGATGATTTTTTTATTTTAGCAGATATTTATGGCTTGACCTCAATGTTAAAGATGAAAAAAAATAAGAAAAATAACATTAGAGGTGAATGGTTAATTGACTCAAGTTAGGGAGATACTTTAAAATGTATTTATACATTTTTAATAGTAGAAAAAATACCAACTAAATTTATATAAAGGGTATTTCCTTGATTTTTTATTCAGTCATATTTAATATATTTTTTAATGATATAATTTCTTAGACTGTTTCCTAGTTTGACTTAATTGATATTTAGCTTAAACTAAACAGCCTTTTAACTAGGACACCCTATTTTGATCTGTTTTAAATATTTGGTGGCATTGTTATTATTCATATCTCTTTTCTTGTTTTTTTTAAAAATGTTTCTCTTGTTTTTTAGGCTGCTAAGTTAAAGCTAAAGTCGGCTGTTTAGTAATAAGTAAAACCAGCATACTCTTAAGATATATATTATTATAAAAAAATATTTACAATTTTAAATTCCATTATTATTAATCAATAAATAAATACCATATATTTATTTTAACTTCTTTTTATTTGTAATATTTTAAACCTAAAAAGATTATTTTGACAAAAATAGTTAAATATTTTTAGTCTAATATGTAAAAAAGAATGATGTATTTTAAAAAGGTGCAAATTTTTATATTAACCCATATTTTTCATAACTGTCATTAAATTTTTTTGGCAACAATAATTAAAAATAGATTAAACATGCTTGACAATTCTCAAATCATGATTTTAAATCTTTTGATGATTACAATAATTAAGAATTTTTTGAAATTATCAAGGAAAATATAATAATGGTTGTTAAACTTTGATGAATTGATTCATATTAATAGTTAAATATTAATGAATAAAATATGTTGTTAAAATATATTTAGTTTCCTATGAAAATACGGAACGTTCTAAAGCCCGAAAATGAATGGAGAAACTATTTTTATTCGGAACGGAACAGGAACGCAAAAATGAGGTTGTTTCGGGTCAATGAAAAAATAAATGAATGAAGAGAACTCTACATAAGTATTCAGCAGGTCTTGCTTAGCTTAAATTTTTAGAATTAAACACATAAGACTGAATGGCGGAAACGATAGAGGACATACATAATGGATATCAACAAAACACCCAATTTAACAATAAAATAGAATGATATTGATTTTCAAACACTTTAAGATTTCTGAGATTCGTTATTCGAAATTCAAATACTTTATTATCTATTAACAAAGAAAATATTTCGAAAATATAATATTACGTCTTTCGCGGTAGTAGAAGTACTACTTTCATTCACGGAATTAGTGAATATGGTATATGCATCCAAAATTTAAAAAAAAAATTGGTAATCACCAAAGGGACAAATTATGTTAGTTAATTTTTTTAAAAATATTATTTATATTTATGAATAAAGAGATTATTATTTCAAATATCTTTCTATTTATTCTTATTTTTAATAGAAAACCATTTTATGTAGCTTTAAGCTACCATGTCGCTTTGTATTTTGCAATAAGAATTTTTAAATGCAGCTTAGAGTATGTAATGTAATATATTTTCATGAAAGTGTTTTGTAGAAATACATTTCCAGATTAGTTTGCCCAACTCTGAATATACATCATGTTTTTTAGCACTGGAGGAAAATTATTTATTTTCATTTCTTTGATAAATCGATGTAACCAAAAGTTAAGAGATTATTTAAAAATTGTTACTATAAAAAAATTTGTTTAACATATTTTAGTTAAATTGGCAAAGATCATGGTTCAGTTTTCCCCTTTTAGGTCGAGCCTTAGTGGTTTGATCTTTAGAAATCAGTTTCGCGGTTTTATTAGGTTTTTGGCTCGATTTGGACCGTTGGAAAATATATATTTTATTTTGTTATTATCAAATAAATATAAACAATATCAAGAAGTTTCAGAAATTTAGATTTCATTTATTTTATACAAAACTAGTTCTTACTTTTTTTATTGATATACTATATGTACTCTTGCATAAGTCAGTATCCCATCAGATAGACATGCGCCTGCTGGTTCGTCAGCATTTTTGTGCAATCTAATACGCCACCGTTTATTTTAATTACGCTGATGATGCCCCACCTATTTTTATAATGGTGGACACGGCCATAGCCTAAACATTTTTAAAATATTTTATTATTATGTTTAAATCAGGGTTGTGCATTTGACTGATCAAATACGTATCGGTCAATTGACCGTTGACAGGTCAAATATGGTCAAATTCAAATATATGTTTTTTTGTCAATATTAACTTTATTTTAAATATAATAATAAAATGAATCTATAATATTAATTTTTTAAATTTATTGTCATTCAATAACTAACGTTTAGCTCTCTGTGGCAGAGTCTTGTTCTGACTCATATTCATTATTATCATTTTCTTTAATATTTGATCTTTCGATTTCTATTTTCACAAGAGTTTTAACCCAAATCGACCTATTTCTTTAGAAGAACTAGGAATTGTTAGCCTCTTAATGGGCATGATGGCAAAGTTTAATCTATTAACTTGAAGTCGGAATTGATTGTTTCTTATGGAATCCACATAATTTACTATTAAACATGCTGATTTTGCTTCTGAAATTAATATCACTTAAAATATTTTGGTCATCACAACCTTGTAAAATGGCTAATTCTTGAATTATATCATATACTTCATTAAATTCACTACTAGTGAGATGCTCCTCTTGATATTGGGGGCCCAAAATAAGCAACATTGTGATCACATATATTTATATTGTTTTTTCCTGTTTTAAACATTTTTAATTTTTTTTCTTTAGATTTTTTTAGAGCATTTGACCGTATTTGACCAGGTCAAATACTCCTCCGGTCAATTGACTGAATTTGACCGGTCAATTGACCGACTTGCCAACCCTGGTTTAAATTATAATGAAATTATCAGTTATTAAAGTATTTCAACAGAATTATCATGGCATCTGTATGTTTAGATACGCTTTTATAAAAAGGTTCTGTATTTAGATAATATTTTAGAGCTAGCTGTATCTATATATAATCAATTTAAAAGATATATATATAATTATTTTCAAATTAATATTTCTAGACATTCTCTGAAAAAAAATCAAATAATTTAGTATTTGATTTTTTAGGTTTGTGTACCTCTTAGATATTATAAATATTGATATAAGTTTTGAATAATTTTTTTAAAAAAAGCGTCGGGATTTTAATGTATAGATTAAACTCATATAAAGTTGTTAATAATTAAGTATACAAACCACTACCGTCAAGTTTTCCTGTAGAAATGTTTAGTCTGGCTAAAAATGTCTGCAGGTAAACAGGAGTGCCTTAATAAAAAAAATTTTGTGATATATATTATTAAATGAAAACATTTATGATAATTTAATTATATATTTGTATATAATGTGATATCAACTCAATAAATCTTTTGCTGACTTCAAAATTTCAATTTTAACAATAGAATCCTAAGCATTATTCACATGTTACATAAGTAAAATAAAAATGGTATCTGTATCAAGATACGTTTTTAGACGATGTATCTGTACATAGATTCATTTTTGGACGATTAAATGGACCCATGAATAGCTTTTAACAACTCTGGAAATTATAATAAAATATTAAAAAGCTAATATAAATGTTTTTAATATTTATAACACAATATGCTCATAATCTTGATAAATAAAACAGCAGAAATTGAATTTTAGTTTAAAGCAGATCAGAAAAAAATCCATGATATAACTAATACGGTTATGTTAGATCTTGATAGCACCCATTTTTACCCTCAGCCGTTTTTCAATTGGTGATACTATTGAGGATATCAATAAACATGACGACATTAAAATTCAATGTTCCACCAGATGACACAGTATATTAGTTATGCCGAAAGTGTTTCTTGAACTAATAATATTGTTTTAAAAAGAAATGAGAAACAATATTCTAAACTTTCAAACTACGAATTGAATCTAGTAGGTAATTTAACAATACAATTGAATTTCTTTCATCAAAAAAGGGTCTATTTTGAAATTGACATTTTTTTAGAAGTGAAGTAGAATATTAGTGAATGATAATAATATCTTAAAAGTTATTTCGCATAAGAAAAATATGTTTAAAAAACTAGTTTTCCTGTTAGCAATATACAGGTAAATTATATAGTATGAGATAGGGGTTTATATAGGATTTAGCTTAGAAGGTGCGTCACTATTAGATTGAGATTTTTCAAATTAATTTTATTGGAAATCTTTATGTCAACTTATTGTAGCCCAGAATTTTATAATTTTAGGTTTTCACTTTTTTTTAAAATGCCTTTCTAAAATTTTTTAATTATAGTCCTTATTTAATATTAAATTTATTAATTTTTCTTTCAAATTCTTCCTTATAGTGATATATTGTATATATTTTTTGGGAGAGTTTGTAGGGGAAAATTTTTATTAGCTTAAAATGTTATTTAAAAGAACAGGC